AAAACAGGAGGCTGATGTGTCTGTGACAGAACATAGAAGAGTCTATGATGAATGCTAGAGTCCCAAGAAGAAGCCAAGCATTCTGTGCCAGGAATCAGGAGACGATGTCCAAGCTGAACACACAGACTAGAGCTTCTCCAAAGCAGCAGCAATCAGTTCCCTTCCCATTTGCCTTTTTATTGTATGCAGGCTGCTCCCCTGGCATGGGTGTAGCACTCACACCCTCAGCCTCCCCTCCTCTTGCACGGCTGAACATGTTACAAACTAAGGACCCTGGTCCTTGCTGAATCACTTAAAGTTCTGACCTTCTCAAAATGACACAATGAAAAATATCCTAGAACTTTGTAATTGTTTGTTCTCCACACCCCAGGATGTGGAGGTGCTGAGTCACTTAGTAAAGCTTCCCCAGCTGACACATTGTATAAAGCCACAACATCTCTTCTCGGGATTCAGGTCTCAGTTCATATCCTTCCTATGTTCATGGTACCCACCTCTCTCCTCCTTCTCTCCCCTATGTTGCTATATTCTATGGACTGGACGCCAAAACTTGGAGAGGTTCTTTTTGTGCTACTCATGGCTCCACTATTTTCCAATAAGTTCAGTGGAACATTTTTAAATTCCCAAGAGGGAAGATGTTAAGTTACAACCCAGAGTTCTTAAATCAGTGTAATATATACTTCAAAAGAGATAAAATAAATATTTTTAAGGGTCAAGTATGGGGCATGGCTCTAACTGCAGTACCTTGGAGGTTGGGACAGGAGGATCACCACTTAGTTAAGTGAGATGTTCTCTCAAAACAAAACAAAAATACTATCTAGAAATATACAAAGCTGATATAAGACACCAAGAGATTTGACCTAAAAAAAGTTAGAAGAAAATCCTAGCAAAAAGGCCCATTTTGTGGGCCATGGATTTAGCTCAGCAGCATAAGCGCCTGGCAATCACGAGGCCATAAATTTGAGTCCCGGTACCAAAAAAAACAAAAAGAAGGAAATAGTACCAGATTAAATGGTTGCTCTATTCAAATAAAAAACAAAATTGGAAATGGTAATACATAAACAGATACAAGGATTTTTGTTTTTGATGTTGGGAATTTCACCCAGGATCTATGCATCCTAAGCAAGTGATGTACCACTGAGTTACACTCTCAGTTTAAGAATTGTTTATCATTTTAATCTCTTTCAAAGACAATTATTTAAAGAAGACAACAATGCTTGATGGAACTTACAAGTTTATGTAGGAATAAAGTGTCTGACAATAAAAGTACAAGGATGAGAAGGGAGAAATAGTGTATTGTAGGGCTCTTAAATTATACATGAAGTGGTATTACATTGCACAGTAATGTACACAATAATGTGTTAAAGATATATATGTGTACCCTAAGGTGGCCACAAAAGCCCAAAACAAAGAGTTTATAAATAATAATAATTTAACAAATGATATAAAATGGAATTATTAAAAAACATGGATTATGTAATCCCAGCTGATCAGGAGCCTGAGGAAAGATAAACTGTTTGAGGCCCGCTGGACAACCCAGCAAAACCCTAGCTGTCTTCCTTCCCAATTTGGCCTAAATGTGAATAAACTCATTTTTTCCCATTCTATCTGTGGTTCAGGAGCCTTTGAAACTGGTCTGTGTTAAGGGTTTGGAAAGTTTTGGATACCAGGTGAAGAAGCAGCCCTGGAATGCCATGAGCTTAACTCGATGGGAGACTTTGATCAGAGCACGGAAGATCAGAATGCTGACAGAAATGCATCCCGTGAAGATCAGGTTCAGATGGTTTCAGTTAGGAACAAGTATTATATCGGCTGTTGGACTCCAAATCATGTGTGTTACACTTTGGCAGAAAATTTGTCTGTAATTTGCTCTTGTCCAGAGACTCAGCCTGAGGCAGAGTCAGAAGAATAATTTAGCAGAAGAAATTCCAAGACAGTCTAATGTTGAGGTGGTGGCATTGGGACTTTTGCCAGATCTATGTTGAGAATCAAGAACAAAGAGCCCAGAAAAAATGATTTAAAACATTTTGAGTTTCTCTAGAAAGAGTGCTGTGGTGAAGCTGTGGATTGCAAAAATGGATCAGAGGAGAATCTGATTACTGAGAATATAAAAAAATGGCCTGAGGACATGACAAGTAATAGGACACCTCTCTATGCAGCCTCAAAATTGCAAAAATGAAAAACTTTGCTTTGAAAAGACTGCCCCTAGAGCACCATGTTTCAAAATGGAGGTAGCCTCAAGAATTTGTTCCTGGCGATTGGGTTCACAGAGCTAAGCAATCCAGGTACCTAACTCCTATAGCCAAGGAAGAAGGCTGACTTACTACTCCACTGGCAGGAGACCCTGGCATCATCCACATAGGGCTGGTTTTAGGTGCATACAGAATTCAGAAGTTGTAGAGTCAGAAGAGTTTCACACAAGTTTCAAAAGAAAGCCCAGAAGGCCAGGAAGTCTGCCCAAGAGAAGGCAGTGTGGGAATTTGTGAGTATGAAGCTAAAGGAACAGTAGAGACTTCAGAAGGTTGGAGAAGTCACAAATGTGGATTGTCTGAGGAAAGCTTTCAGAAGTGAGCAAAGCTGACCCAAGAGAGAAGCCATGAGAGTTACAACCTCTGGTCGTGTTACAGGGACAGAGCCACCTAAACGCTTTGGAGTTTACATTGTACCACAGATTGCACCGGATTTTGGAAATGAAATTATGGGACTTAATATTTCTCCTGCTGGATTTCAGTTTTGCTTTGATCTTGTACCTATCTCTATATTTGTGACTTTTCTGGAATGGGAATATTTATCTTGTGGCATTGTTTTGAAAGCATTTACCTTTCTTTTCATTCATACTTGGTCTTACAGCTAAGAGTCTGACTTACCTCTCAGGAGAGATTTTGGACTTAAGACTTTTCTGCCACAGTTTGTGACTATGGTGGCAAACAGTATGATTTCTTGAAGATTTAGTTCAGTCACTGAAATGGCCCAGAGGGACTATCTAAACCAAGAGTGCCCAGAATTAAAGAAACTCTCAGGAGAAGCCCTGAAGCTGTGAACTCTCTAGCTTTTATTTAGTGTATTAGTGTAAGTGAAAAAAGCCTAAATGCAGTTTGGGTAAGACATGTTTCAACGATAGGCAGTATTCTTAGGGAAATGGGAAGACAACAGCCAAACATAACATACCCCACTAAACGTCTTGTTTAACCATTCATTTCTCACAGAGCATGTGTGCTTTTGCCTCAGAGTTTCCCCATTCACTCCTTGGTCAAGTTCCCCACACTTTTCAGCAGTGTGGAAGGTACAGGAGTTTGACAACTCTTAGAAAAGGACTCCCTTTTCTTTTCTCTTTCCTTCCTACCTACCTTCATTTTCTTTTTCTCTTTTATACCAAGGATTGAACAAAGGGGCACTAAAACACTACATTCCCAGATTTTTTTTTTGTTTATTTTGAAACAGTGTCTCACTTAGTTGCCCAGTTCTTTTCTGATTTGGTCTATTTTGGGTTCTAATAGCCTTAAGTATGTGGATAACCACATAATGCCCAAGACCTGGGAAATTTCCCGGTATGTTTTTACCAACTACACTTTTTTACATCCTATATCTCAATTTCCTCCTCTAAACATATGATTTATAAACTTGGCCCTTTATTTTTGCCCCAGAGTTATATATTATTTTCATAGTTTCTTGTACATAGTACTCATAATTTTGTGTACTCTTCATGCCAGTATATATATTTTTTTTATCGGTACCAGGGATCGAACTCACGACTGCCTGCTTGCAAGGCAGGTGCTTATGCCGCTGAGCTAAATCCCCAGCCCCACCAGTATATTCTTGTATGTTATGTTCATAGTTCTTTTTATGTATTCTTGTATATTCTGTTCATAGTTTTAAAAAATTATCTCAATGTGATATTCATCTTGCTTTCAAGCTCTGATATTTTTTCTTTTGCTTGACTTATTTTTTCTTGAGACAGGGTCTCACTATGCTGGCCTGTCCTCACTTTGTAGCTCAGGCTGACCTCAAACTTGCAGTGATCCTCCTGCCTCAGCCTCATGAGTGCTGGAATTACAGGTGTGTGACACTGGTCCTGGCTTGACCTATTAATGAAACTTTCAACTGAATTTTTTTAGAAATTTATTATTGAGATTTTCATTTCCAAGATGTTCTTCGAACATCTATCTCTTTATTGTCTTGTTCTTTCATATCCTACATTATCTTCCTTAACTGATTCAGCTCTTTGAATGCAGGAATCATTTAAAAAACACTTTGAATTTTTGGCATTTCATCCATTTAAATGTATGGAGTCAGTTTATAGAGAATTATTATTGGAAGAAACGAAGGACAGCAAAGTGGAAGATGGAAGTATGGACAATAAACTCATCAAAGTCATCCATGTTTTCTTTTCCATCATAATCGCTGTTTTTCCCTCTCCCTGGTTCCCATAACACAACTGAGCTGAAGCTGCTCATCTGTAATTAATGCTTTGCACACTGGACTCAGAAGGTGGGGACTCACACAATTTCATGCATGGCCAGATAAAGTCATCTGCCCTATTAAATAAATAGAGTGGTACTGTGCTAGACAAGAATGAAGTTGCTATATCATTTCCTAAGTCATGGTTACTCATTGTAATTTATATACTTTTACTGGGTCTCTACTGCAGCTAGCAGTTGGCATACACAGCCAAGTCCAGCAGGCGCTACCGGAACTTTGGAGGTGGAGAGAACACAATGCATGTTAAAGGCACACAGATGCCATCCACAGCTGTGGAATTGTGTGTGTGTGTGTAGTTTACAGGTGTTTCCAGCATCTCCCTCACACGCGAGGAAAAGAACAGTGGTGATGGCAACAGTGCTAAGTACTTTTCCTTGAACAGTACTGTGTGTTATCTGGACCTGCATCCTTACTACTTTTTTTCTAGGTTGTACAGCTCACAAGCATGAAGGTTCCTGATCTACTGAACTGTTAAATTTTAAAAATTATTAATAAACCTCTCATTGTTTAAAACATATAGAATGGATGGTTGCAATAATTTTTATTTTGTCAATAAAGGGATATCAATACATGATATAAGGATGCAAAATAGCAGTTAAAAGAATTAGACCAGTACTTTTCATTCTTATATTGGCAGACATTACACAATGATGTATTGCCATCTGTGTTACTTTAAAACCCACAATGCTATGTGTTATACATAAGTTCATCTAAGTACTTGTTTTACAGATATAAAATGCACCAAGTTATTATCTCTGCAGACAAAGGGTGAAGGACTCCAGAAGGAAAAAGAAAACATTTCATCTATTTTCTGAAACCATTTATTTCTTTAACAAAATTTTAACCAAAAAGGAAAAATAATATGCTCAATTAGTAGGGAGTAATGACAGAGATAGTAGTATGTATATTTAGTTCAAAAAAATTAAAGGCATAAAATAGAAGAAAATCTGGGAAAATACTGGCATGGAAGAGATAATTCAGGAATAAAATCAGATATGTAGCATATAGGTAGATGATAATTAAAACAGAAGTGAAGAGCCAGGCTTGGTGGCCCATGCATGAAATCCTAGCACTCAGGAGGCTGGGCAGCAGGATCGCTGCAAGTTCGAGACCAGCCTTAGCTACAAGGTGAGCTCAAGGCCAGCCTGAACTGCATACGACACCTTGTCTCAAAAAGACAAAAAATAAAAAATAAAATAGAAGTGAGCAAACTACAGCCTACAGTCCAAACGTGGCCACATATCTATAATGAAAGATTTATTGGAACAGATCTGTATCCACTGCTTCTAGGTCAGGATTTCTCAACCTTAGAACTGGACTAGATAATTTTACTGTAGGGAACTGTACAGTATTGTAAGATACTGAACAGAAGGGGCTGGGGGTTTAGCTCAGCGGCATAAGCACCTGCCTGGCAAGCAGGTGGTCGTGAGTTCGATCCCTGGTACCGATAAAAATGAAAAAGACAAAAAAAAAAAAAAAGATACTGAACAGATCAAGATCTCTAGGCAAGCAGCAATTCCTTAAACTCTCTGGTTACTGCCAAATGTTTACTGGAGGTATAAGTCAAGAAAGCAAAACTGCCCCTGTTTGAAAACTACTGCTTCATATTCTGCACTAAAAGACAGTATATACACTGTATGGCCACAAAACCTGAAATATGTAATCTCGCCATTAAAACGGTAAAATATTTCTTAACTCCTTTTGCTATAAACAAAGGCAAAGGCTAAAATTACCTTATAGGCGTTGTACATACCAGTAACCTCAGAACTTTGTAGACAAAGGCAGGTGGATTTGAGAGCTCGAGTGCACACTGGGCAACCTGGTGGTTTAGTGAGATCTTGTCTCAAAATAAAAATAAAAATAAAAATAGGCTTAGGGGAAGTAGCTCAGTGCAAAGGCCCTGGATTCTGTCCCCAGAGCTGTTTAAAAAGAGGCAAAGGATACACGTTATCGTGGCAATATAATTTCAGTCAACTTTCTACAAACTGCTTTAAAAAAAATGATTCCAATTTTAAAAAAGGAAACAAAAATTGTTCACAGCGACAAAGTACAAATGATGTTTAGTATGGCAGATGTTCAACTTCACTAATTTTTGGCAGCTAAGAAAATGCAAACTGAAAGTGCATTTGTTTCTTTACTCAACTTAAAAATAGTTCAGTCCTGGTTGAAGCAGGAAATACATAACCTTTCTGATGAGATTAGTAGCGAGTTTCAAACATAAGGCAGCAACTATTACAATTTAAACACAGTACACTGATAAGGCAAAGAATTTAGCTGATAGGAATTCTGCGTACAGAAATAAAAGCACCAACACTCAGCAGTATATGTGTGGTAAAACTGTCAAGTATAATGATTTGCAAAATATCAATATTGAGCTTTCATTAGTGGACAGGCTGCATGTATCACTGTGGGGCATGACTAAGTGGGAGATCAACCACACATTGCAGGCTAGAGCAAGGCCAGTCCCAGAACACAGAGCACCCGAGGCAAGCCATGTAAACAAGTTGTTGGAACTAGAGCAAAGCCAGTCCAGCAGGTGTCTGGTCTTGGTGCTCCTCCATGCGAACTATAGCACAGACAGCTCTGAGAATGTAACACTGAGACCTTGCACTTTCAACCCCTTCACACACTTCCCTATTTTTACTGTGTATAAATAAAGACGCAGACCATGCTGGTTGTTGCTGCCTCTCCATCAGGGAGGTCATGGCCCACCTGGTCCCAGTCTTCCTTTTATTATGTATCTAGTTCTTTCTTAATCTCTTGTTCCCCCCTCACAGAACCCCACTAGTTGTGAGCGTTGTGGCATATCATTGTCTTTGTCTATCAGGTAAGAGGCCAATAGTTAGATCTGTAGGAATTGATGAGGATGGATACTCAAGGTATGTTACAACATGAGAAAAGGAAGCTGCACTTTAGTAAGTACCTGCACCATCTCATTCCAATGACTCTCTCCTTAACTAGCATGGTACAAGAACAAGTCCAGATGTGGGTGTGCTTCCTGAGTATGGACAAAAGAATGGAGTGTGTATATGGTTCTGATAAAAAAGATCTTTGTATACTTATATTTTCTGGTAAAACATGACATATAAACTTGCAAGAGAATTCTCAACTCTTGAAAAACACAAGTATATATGTACAGAAAATGAAAAAGATTTCAACATTTTTATAATTCTTAAAGTGTTGAAATGGTAGTAATATCAGTATTATACTACCTATTTTTGCCTGCTTTCATTAATTCTAGATTCTAAAGGGTACAAATTCTTCTCTTAGAGTACTTAAAAATTTTGAGATTAGATTTATGGAATTAATAGACCAGTGAAGATAAAATTTAGTAATCATTTCTCTTTTAAAAGATGTTTAAATTTTTGTTATACATTGCCCTCCAATGAGATGACTGCTTAGCTAGGACTGATTCTCATCATACAATGTTATATATATTTAACATTTAATTATGCATCTTTTAATACTGTGGGGAAGAAGTGGAATCCACTGGGTGGTGATTATCTAAATGTTGTGAGTCAGTAGACCATGAAGTATGATCAGAGGCACAACTGCAGTGACTCCACAGCAACTGACATTTGTTATATAGCTCTCAGTTATTACTTCTAGAGGGCACTATTTTTTAGTGTCTAGTTTTCAATGTGTCAACCCTGCATTGTATTACATTCTTTAACAATTGGACAGGTCAGTTCATGAGTATTCTGGATAATCTATCATGTTTCTTAAAAGGCTAATAGATTTGACTTGCTATTTTAATTGGACTACTTACACATTATCAGTGTAATGGATTATTTTTAAAAAACTGGTATTTAATCTTGGATGTCCTTTTCCAAATTTGCTAAGATTCATTATGGTGAATTTTTGAAGTATCTTGAAGAGTTCAAAGATTTTTATCTATACTAAAGGAATTACATGGTGTGTAGCTTTTAATTTTCTCTTTGGTTCTTACTTCATTAGGAAAATAACACTTTTACAGGTATTCACATATATTATAAAGAGCAGGATGTAAACATACACTGAATTTAAACAAGTACTTTACTGTATCAAAGTTGAAAATATATAATTTTAGAAAATAGTGCATTTAAGAAAATAGTGCATTTATATGTTTAATATAGTAAAAAACTGAGTAAACGTTTTTACCTAAGATTGAATAAATATGTGCATATATATGAAAATATATTTTTAAATGGAAACTTTCCAGGACTGTTAAGAAGCTCAGTATAAAACTACAACACATATATAGAGCTTCTTATTTCACTGAAGTCCTAGGAAAATGTGGTTCTGAATTGTTTAATCAGATCCACAAGGTCAAGGACACAGGTACTAATTCTAATCTATCCCTTGTGCCAATCTCAGCTTCTTGACACTCTGCAAACTGGCCACAAGTTCATCTACCACAAAGCCATGTGGACATGCATCCTACGGTTAGGCCCATTTTCTTGTATTTTGTTAGGAAAGAATTTAACTAACCTCCATTTTCAGACCTATCCTCGTATCTTCAGTGGCCAGGAGCATTACACATATGACTAGATGCAAAGGAAAGTAGGAGAACAAACATCTGGCCTTTATAGTCTGAGGTAGTAGCAGGTGGTCTAGGTAAAAAGAGAATTAACAGGTATAACCAACAGAATCTGCTAATTCAATAGACTTTCTCTGAAATGTCCACTTCCGTTTTTTCATTATATGATGTAATTTTTATTCTAGAAAAAGATTTCAATGTTTTGGTTTTGCTTTGCATTTATTTCATTAGAGCTTCTCCATATACTGGAGTTGAAGGTATATGTTCATCCATTCTCCCATTCCTTTGAACAATATTTACTTATACTGGGTACAGTGGCACATTCCTGTAGTTTCAGCTACTTGGGAGGCTGAGGTAGGATGATCGCAAGTTCTAGGCCAGCCTAGGCAACACAGAAAAACTCTGTCTCAAACAAAAAAGGGATTGGGATGTAGCTTTGTGGTTAAGTGCTTCCCTAGCAAGGGTTCACTCCAATACTAAAACTGTACAAAACAATTTACTAAGGAATAGGTAGTGTACTAGGTAGAATGAAGCCAGGATAACTCCTGACCCTTATTATGTATGTTTTCTACACTACTAAGCATACTTATTTTCCAGAGTATAATTTATTCATGTTCTATAAATTTCAACATATAGTGGTTTATTTTTGTCATTCCTAATGTTAATTTGTCTTAATTTCCTTTTGAACATAAAATAATATATATTGGCATCTTTAAAATTTCCTAGAAGAGACATAGTTTTTGGCTAAGTCTTTGTTGTTACCTAATTCTCTAGAACAGAAGTCAGAGATTATAGCATGGCTTCTATTATTTGGAAGGTTTTAATAAATCATCTAAATCTTCCTACGGTTAGAGCAACCCACCTTTCTCCTACTGAGAGACTTATGAATTCCTTTATGATGCAGAAGGAGAAACTATGAATGAAAGCTTTAAATCTTTCTCCAGAAGGAATTACCTAATATTTGGCAAAGAAAAAGAAAATGTTCTTCCAGTCAATGGTCATATAAAGGGCTTCCTATTGTATGATCTCTAAAAAATACAATTATGTAAACAAAGAAAAACAATAGAAGTAGCTGTCATTTAGCATGCTTTCAATATTACCTGGACACTTCTAAAGGATATAAGTATACTTAGTCCTCAAATTCATGTAAGCAATATGGTGCTAGTGTTTCTAACTTGTAAATAACAAAATGTAGATGTAGTTAATTTGCTGTTAATCTTTTTTTCATGTTTTTGAGACAGGGTCTCACTATGCCATTCAAGCTGGCCTTGAGCTCACTTTGTTGCCCAAGTTGGTCTTGAATTCACAATGATCCTCCAGCCTCAGCCTCCCAAGTGCTAGGATTACAGGTGTGTGCCATCATGCCCAGCTTGCCCTTAATCTTGATGGGGGCCAGTTAAAAATAAACTCTGGTTAAATCCTTTCCTATGCTGACTTGGCTCAAGATAATTTTATAGAATTATCTTGCAAATATGTAACAGAATTTGAGTGGGATGGAAGAATATGCCGGTTCTTGAGTACTAAGGTAACCTTTCTCTAGTCAGACGAGTGGCTTAACTAATGTAAACTGCTATCCCGTATATATGGCATTACTACTAGGAATCCTTCGATTCCCTCTAAGAGCAAATAACCCTGACATCGAGAAAGATTCAATGGTTTATTTCTCTGGCGCATTCACTGTTCTCTAGAGCTTCTCTCCATGATGAATTCCCTGAGGTTGACTTGTTTAGAGTCACCAAACAGGCATCCTACTTTCCTTACATTTGTGAAATTTTCCAGTTTTTCATTAGTTGAACTCTGATGTCTAATAAACCTGAAACAAATCCTTCTAAATTTCTAATATTTATAATACTTGTCATTAGTAACTAGTATTAGACCATTTTAGGCCTATAAATAAGACCCTTTCATCCATAGTACAAATTCTGATACTCAGTAAATTGTTAACATCAAATGCTTTTTCTACATTCCTCATAATCATTGTTTTTTTTTTTTTTTAAAAACTACTATAAATTTTCTGATTCAATCAAATCCTGAACTTTCACACATTTTATCATTCAGTCCTCTGTCCTAAATGGGTTTTTTGATGTTGACTAAGGTGTGAGCCACGAACAAAGGCTTTCCCACATTCCTTACATTCATAGGGTTTCTCACCAGTGTGAATTTTTTGGTGTCGATTAAGTTCTGAGCCACGACCAAAGGACTTGCCACATTCCTTGCATTTGTAGGGTTTCTCACCACTATGGCTTCTCTGATGATAAGTAAGTTCAGATCTTCGAATAAAAGCTTTCCCACATTCCTTACACTTATGGGGTCTCTCACCAGTGTGGACTTTCTGATGTCTAACAAGTTCGGTGCTGCAAGTAAAGGCCATTCCACATTCACATTTATAGGGCTTCTCACCAGCATGAGCTCTCTGATGTCGAGCAAGTTCTGTGCCACGACGGAAGGCCTTCCCACATTCTTTACATTTGTAGGGTTTCTCTCCAGTATGAACACTTTGATGTCGAAGCACGTGTGAATCAGAGATAAAGCCTTTCCCACATTCCTTACATTTATGGGGTTTCTCACCAGTGTGAACCCTTTGGTGTAGACTAAGTTGTGAGGCACAACTATATACCTTCCCACACTCCTTACATTCATAGCGTCTCTCACCAGTATGAATTATCTGATGAAGACTAAGCTGTGTGTCATAGCGAAAAGCTTTCCCACATTCCTTACATTTATGGGGTTTCTCACCAGTATGGATTCTCTGATGGCGAAAAAGGTGTGATGGGCGGGTAAAGGCTTTTCCACATTCCTTACATTCAAAGAACTTCTCATCAGTATGAATTCTGTGATGAAGATTAAGTTGTGCATTTGATCGAAAGGCTTTCTCACACTCCTTACATTTGTAGGGTTTCTCACCTACATGCATCTTTTGATGTTTGCTAAGTTGGGAGCTGGAATGAAAGGCTTTCCCACATTCCTTACAATGATGTGTCTTCTCCCCAGAATGAATGCTTTTAGCCTGAGTAATTTCAGAGTCATGATTAGAGGGACACTTCTTATTTTCATTCTTGTTTTTGCTTTCATGAAGTTTCTGATGCTTAATCATGTCCGACCTACTATTAAATATTTTCTGGCATTCTCCACATTCAGAATCCTTTTCCTTATGTTGAAAAGAATGTGTTTGGCACTCAAAATCTTTCTTAGATTTCTTGATTTCACAGGATCTCTCTCCAGTGTTAATTCTGTGAAGGTCTCTCTGGGCTGTGCCTTGAGTAGAGGTAATTATGACTTCTCTAAATTGTCCCTCCTGATGCCCCTGTTGTTTTTCCAACTGGCATTTGCTACTTCTGATCCTAGCATGCTCAGGGTTGGAGTGTATAAGTATTTTTGCTGTATCCTGTTGTAACAATTTAATTTCATACTGTTGCTTCTCCAAAGATAAATTCTTAGTTTTTCTTCTGGATTCCCAATCTGTAAGATAACAAGAAAGAAAGCAGGCTTTATTTTCACATTTCAGGACAAAGGAAAGTTCTAAGGTACAATGACAGCTAAAAAATAACAATACTACATTGCAGCTTGGAGGGAAAAAAAGAGAAGAGGAATGAAAATAGAACAAATGAGGCAAAAGGTAGTGGTTTTTCCCATGTGATAAGAATCAGAATCAAATGAGAAACTGATTCAAAATACAATGTCTAGGAACCAACCAAGACTGAGAAAATGAACATCTGAAAGGGTAAGGTATATCTAATAGCACATCTCCTTAACTCTAGCCTCACAATATCCCCACAGATTGACCTTTCCCTACTTGCATCTTTGCCATCTTGTCCAAATCCCTCCCTCCTAATATCCCATACCCAACACAGTAACTAGACATTCCTGTTAACGTAAGCCAGATACTATTCTTCTGTTCAAAGCCTCGACTAGATCTCTTTCTCATTCAAGGTATGAGTCAAAGTCCTTACGTGGTTGATGGGCTTTCCACAAACATCTCTTCTACTATTTCTTTCTAACCTTATGAGTTATCATCTCCCCTTAGCTGAGTTCTGTGCCAGCTTCCTGACAAATCAAGTGTTTTTAAGTTTGCCATGCATACCTCTCCTTCAGAATCTCTTCCCTAAAATATCACTAAAGCTCAAATTCAATTACTTTATCTGACCTCTATTCACAGCCAGCTTACTGGATCACCCCATGAAGAACAGAATTCCTCTTCACTAAACTTACCCTGTGTTTCTACAGAGCACTATCAGCACATGTCATCTATTTTACAATATTATGAAAAATTTCAAACATACATGAAAAAATAAAAATTAGATAGTGAAATTTCATGTTTCCTCTATGGAGACTTATTTGGCTCTATTTGCCTTATTTTGTATCTATCTATCCTTTTATCCATTCATAATCCACTGTCTAGATACCATTTTACTTCACTTCTAAGTTCAACAGGTTATGATACACTTTAACTTGTTTATTTTCATATTGTCTGACACTCACTGAGTCTATATGGATAGTAAGCATTTGCTTGATGATTTTTTTTTTTTTGTCTTTTTCATTTTTATTGGTACCGGGGATCGAACTCACGACCGCCTGCTTGCAAGGCAGGTACTTATGCCGCTGAGCTAAATCCCCAGCCCTGCTTGATGATTTTTTTTGCTACTTTACCTTAATGATTCTGAGTTAATTCAAGGTGTGAATCAATTTTACTATAGTGCCTTTCCCCTGCATTTAGAATAAAACTCAAAATATTTTATTGGACTGTAAAACTTCCCATTCTCCAGACTCTGCTTCTTTATCACTTCAGTTCCCATTTGCCCACTATATTGAGTTCCTGTTTTGTAATAGTCACTCTCATTTTAGAGCCTTTCAATATCTCCCTTAAGGCTCTGTTTGAGAATCTCTGCAAATCAATCTTCCCACTTTAAATATCTTAATTTTCTATTAGGCACCCTGTTTTTGTGCTCATAATCTTTTTTTCTCAAATCTTTAACTACATACTTATTTGTTCTTCAGTTAATTTAATATCATGCAAAGTGACCTATAATTAGCATACAAGTCACTTATTTCACTCACCATGATATATTCAGGCCTCAGGACATTGTTCAATTAGTGTTTAGTAATATAAACACAAGATTAAAGGGAAATTACAGATTAGAGAGGACACCAGATACAAAGGCTCTAAAGAAGACATGGGCTTGATGAACTGAGTGCCAGCAAGAAGCAACTGGGCTTGAGATGTACAGGCTTAGTCATGTATTACAGACACCCAGATTACCACTGCCTTTAACCATAAATTTTATCTTATTTTCATATATTCATTTGCATGTAAATGGAGAAGTCAGGGCTGTGGGAAGTCAGATTTATTCAGTATCAGGCTTGACATCTGTCATGATGATGGATGGCACATAAGTGGTCACATTCCAAGCAGCGGGTATAGCCAGACCTAATCACAAGCCTGTCTAGAAAATGTGGTGTTTGTTTCAACATTACTATGTGCCAAACTTAAGTTATATACCATCTAGGAAATATCTGATAGGCAGAACAGGAAAAATTCTAAGCTACCAAGAGGACAGAAATACTAAGCATTACAACAGAGATGAACAAAATAATGAGCAGAAAAAGAATTAAGAAAATCAATGTGATCATACTTTGGTCTCAGAAAAAAAAAATCAACAAAATTGGTTAGACTTACCAAAGGAAAAAAGGACAGAAAATTCAAAATACTAAAATCAAGAACAAAAGAAGAGATATCACTATTGATTTTACAGAAACAAAATTAGTTATAAGAGACTAAGAGCAGTTATACTGGACAATTAGATAAATGGAAAAATCCCTAAAAAGACAAAACTACCAAAACTGATTTGAAAAGTAGAATATTCAATAAATCTGTAACAAACAGATTAAATTTTAATAAGAAATTTTCTCACAAAGAAAAGCCAAGACTCAGGTGAATTCTACCAAATATTTAAAGAAAACTTAATACAGATTCTCCAAAAAATTTCCAAAAGACATAGGAAAATGGAACATTTCTAAACTAATTCTGAGGTTAGAATTATCTTGATATAAAACCAGACATCATGAGAAAACTATAGAACAGTGATGGCAAACCTTTTACCTTTTAGAGTTTTCATGATACGAATAGCCCACTGCAGTGCATGTGCCATAGGCTTGCCACCACTGCTACAGACCCGGAGCGTGGTAAAAGTCCAAAAAATATAAAACCAAGCCAATCCATCAGCATAGAGAAAGAATTAAATGTTATAATCAGATGGAATGTACCCCAGAAAGACTAAGTTTAACACCCAAAATGTTATCAATGTGTACTAATGAATGTGACGAATGAATTAACCAATTTTGGTTTATTCACCTCAGGCAATGCTATTTGACAACATGAAAGAATAGGTACTGGTGTAGGTACATCCGTATGAACATTGAAAACATTTTTCTAAGTGAAAAAATCCAGTCATAAATTGTATGCTATGCAGTTACTAATATAAAACGTCGCAAATAAGCACATTAAGTAAATTCTAATGGATATGGTATTTTATTCTGAAGTGATGAAAATACTCTACTCACAATATAGTAAAAGCCAACTGCACACTTTTAATAGATGAATTTTATGATATAGACATTATATCTCAATAAAATTAAAAAGGAGAAAACTGGACCAGAGTGAAGATAAAATGCTTATCATAGAAAAAAAGAAGGTATTTCTTCTCTGAAATAAGAGGGAACTGTGACACAAGAGTAGCAGGATGGTGCTAAGTGGAATAATAACTTGGCTTTGTGCTGAAATGTCCTTATTTTCTTCTCCATATCAGCCCTTTGGTTAGTAGGGAGATTTGCTATCAGCATCTCAGAAGGGTTATCTTCTCAACATGCTGACTGGGTGACAGCCTGCTGTGGTCTCCCCAAGGATTCATCATCACTCACCTGGATAACGTCCTTTCTTCCTAGGAACCACCCACGGCTCTATTCTCTGCTCCAATAAGGAGATCACAGTTGGCTTACTATTAGAAAGTCCTGTTCAGGAAAAAAAAAGACAAAAGATAAACATTGTGAGCCTCAGAAATAAAATGAATCATGATTATTTTACCTGTTAATTATGATATATCATTTGACATGGTTAAGAAATACCTTGGAAATTAGTAAATCAACTTTTGGGTTTGTTTGGGAGGGTCATGGAGGCATGACCTTAGCTACTATATACTTCCCTGGCACCTTCCTCTCTGTTACTCTTCTGATTTGCTTATCTGTTGCTATGAACTGAGAAGTTTTGCTTTCCCATTCTTCTCTGCCATATTTCTTGGAGCTGCATCCAATGGACTCAATCACTTGAAACCAAGCCAAATTAAACCTATCTCATTTAACTTGTAGGTAGTGAGTAATTTATCCCAGAAAAAAAAAGTTGATTATCAGGGAAATAAGAAAATGGAATTAGGGTCAGAAGAAAGAATGGGGTGTATAGGAATGGAGAAGACAAAGATATTCAAGGAAAAACCCCATTTTTAACTTCTCAAGAATGGTGAGCAAGAATCAATTCATTAATTCAGAAAGGCACTTGAAAATCATTTAAGAAAAATTAACAAGAAAGACCATAAATATTTCAGAAGGGCATTTTTGAATCTTGAGGGGTAAACTTACTCAGTGAGATCAGGTTTTGGTAATTCTCCACCATTACCTCTCGGTATAAAGTCTTCTGAGCAGAGTGTAAGCATTCCCACTCTTTTTGAGAGAAGTAAATGGCCACATCTTTGAATTTCAAGCCCTGAAATCACAAAAAAGTATGTACTACTTTGAAAGTTAGGGGCAAAGTCTTTAAGGCAGTTATAAAAGAAAGTGGAAAGTGGAGCAGCAATACAGTACGGGAGTAGTAGGAAACAGGGCTTTGCCAGATCCTTCAGTGTAGGCGCATCAGTGCGGAAACAAGGGAGATCAGAGACAGCGGGCCACAGGAGTCTTAAGTATGCCTGCTCTTGTAGATGTAACTTCTTGGCACTTCCTCTATCCACCCAGGTCTGGGAATAAAAGAAGTCCAGGTAAGTGGTGTTTCTCAAACTAAACCATACATTCAGTATAGCGCACCCTCCATGTTCAGCATACATTTCTCATTCTTCCTCTCCATTATCCCAAACCAGAAACTGAAAAAAATCTAGATGCTTCTAAAATATAAAATCTGTCTCTGAAAATGAATGTTATTTCATAATTCAAAAGTCAGGCTTAAGAAAATAAAACCACCAAAATTTCAGGCCCAAACCTTCAGAATATTAAATCCTAATCACTTTTCCATGTTACCAAAAATTCTTAAACAGATACCATTTTACTGTCTGCATCTTATATAGTTAAACTTTTTTGGCACTTGCTTTGACAGGTTCTCTAAAGTTCTTTTGCAGTTATGAGCCATTACTTTTCAATGTATACGTTGAGCTAAATTGTTTCTATTATTCTTCTTATGCTTCAGCTACAAAACAGATGAAGAAAGATTCAGATTTACAATGCTGTGACCTAAGGTGAGCACACACTACACAAGTTCAAAACAGAGCCACTAACTGGTATCCATCTGGCATAGGCTCCTGGGGAATATCACCAAACTCCACCCACTCATTTCCCAGTTCTAAAAATCCCAGATAGCTAGTGATACTGGCAGACACCAAGCCTTCCAACAAAATCAACATCAATTCTTTTTTGGGGGAGGGAAGGTACTGGGAATTGAACTTAGGACCTTGCACCTGCCAGGCAGGTGCTGTGCCACTCAGCTACATCCCCACTCCCATCAATTCTCTTTTTATCTAATTAGAAAACCCACTCCCCATCAGTATTTTTGGTGGAAGAGTATGCAGTTAGGAAATGCCAGGCAATTTGCTGGTAAGTACTTAAATACCTGTCAGAGAACAAGAGAACACTTAACGAGCTGTATCATTTGGTTAGAATCCTGATTGAAACAACTGACCAACTGCTAGAAGCTGATCTATGTCCAAAATGTCTTGCTATGACCCTTTCTCTGCAGCTAGGGAGATGCTCTGCCACTGAACACATCCCAAAGACTTGAGGGAGACGTAACTTCTTGATACAGTTCCAGCTCTGCTCTGGAGAAAGGTTTCTGAAACAATGGCTTATAGTTTCCCTGGGGGCCTAACAGATGATATCTATCACTTCCCTGGCTTTGTTTTCATAGTCAAGAATTGGGACCCTCTCCCAGAACTGAGGTTTAACCTATTGAATCACTAATACCGAGCCACACAAATCAGCATGATCAGCAGGTTTTATGAAGTCTCAGCAGAGCTCGTGTATCTTGCAAATGGCTTTATATGAAAGTTCCGTTCCCACAATTCTCATAGCCTAGTCCCCACTTGAGATCTTCTATGGCTTTTCTGCCTAACATTTTCTCTGGCTCCTATTTCCAGCTTTACTGCTGATAACATCATGTTTACTATATCTCAGTCATAATTATTATGTTTTATGCATTTTACATTCTTGGTGCTTCATATGTTTAATTCCTTAGGAGAGACCAAAAAATAACTCAAAAGAAATTTTAGCATGGGGAAGGTTAACTCATTTATTTGGATTTATGGTTGGCAGTGGCACTGCTGGGTTTTGAATCCAGATTTCTCCAAATTCACCAGTGGATGCTTCCTTCTGGCTCTTGTAGATAAAGCTGAGAAATTTTTGATTATTAAAAAAACACCCCTTCAGTTAATGTTTAAATGAGCACAAAATGCTTGGTTGGGTCTGTTTGTCACTGTAGAGGATAGAAGTCTCTGAGGGAAAATCAAAGGCAAAAGGAAAGGAAGAGAAGCAGCTACATAAAATTCTTTATTCAAAAATATCAATCAAAACCCCAGTGACTCTGACTCAGCACTAAACTCTTGTTAGGGAGATAAAAAAAGAAAAGATGAAACAATCACAGGACTGCTGACCTTGTGGGGTACTAGTTATCATGAGCAAATAATGGATGGAATTATTAAAAATATTCTGGAATACAATATGAGCTGACAAAAAAGGAAAGTCATTTTCAGAAGTTAAAACTAAGGGAAAATGCGAACTAAGGGGAGTTTTTCTGAGCTTTTGAAAATTATTTAGCCTGCAGAATGTCTGCTGAGCCCAAATAACCATGAGTTTTGACAATCTCTGAAGCAGCAGAAGCAGGAGGCCAGACCTACAGATGGCCAAGATTGGGAATCTAATTGGTTCCATACATTAAAGACCTAAGACCTCTCGGAAGTAGTAATCCCAATTCTTTGGAACTGTAGGGAGAACTGCCTAATTTGAACCTGGGTAGCTGGTGGAAAGAAGACATTCTCGAGGAAATATAGCCATAGCCAGCCCTTACATAGGTCTGCAACTCATTTTTAGATTATGAAAGTACAATGACAAATCTTGCTAACTATCAACTTAATATGGTTCTGATTTGGTGGTATTCATAGTGGAAGCAAACACAGAGGAACAACCTTCAACGTGGTCCCAAGAATCCAAGGGTAGAATCCCAGAGAAAAAGACCTAAAAGTAAAAAAATAAAGTAGCACAATATTATAAATGCAGTAAATGCCACTAATACACTTTAAAATGTTCAATTGTATGTTATATGAATTTTGTCTGAGGTGGGGGAAAGAAAAAAAAGAATCAGGCACAGAGTGTAATTTCATGAACAAAGAGTCAGGAAAATCAGTTGTGTATTATTTCAATTTTTCATTATATTTGAAAATTTCACTAAAGAAATGTTGGGAGGAAAAATTCGTACTTGAAATATTCATATATGACACAAATAATATCCAAGAATATAAAACAAGCATATTTCATGTTTTTTAAAAGGAGATAAACTTCATGAAAATTTCAGAAAAACATCAAAATTTACCATAAAAAGCTATAATATTTGAGTCATATGGTGGCTGGAATAAATATTTCTGATGAGAAAAGCTACTGCATTGAAATAAGAGAGATTATCAGAATGCTACCAATAAAAGACAAGTGAGGTTGAGTATAGAAAATAGGTTAGAAAGCTAAAGTGAGATGATTTAACAGCTATTAACTAGGGTTCTAAAAGAAAAAAAGAGAAAGAACTGAGAGAAAGGCAGTATTTGAATACATGATGGGTAATAAATTTTCAGAAGCATTTGCTATGGTTTGGATGTGGTTTGTCCCCCAAAGGTTCAACAGGAAGCTTGGTCCTTGGTATGGTGATGTTCAAGTGGTGAAATATGGTGTTTATTAGAAGTAGTTATTTGGAGGCACTGGCCTACGAAGAGATTAATGTAGTTCTCATGAGACTCCTGTTAGCTCCCACAAGAGTGGCTTATAGTAAAAGAATAGGACTGGTTTTCTCCCCTTGACTCTGACTTCCTGTTTCACCATGTGAACTCTTTTCATCTCTTCCTTTTTCCTGCCATGATGTCACGGAACCAGTCAAGAGATTCCTCATCAAAGGCAGAACTGAGGGGGCTACCCCATCTTGGATTCTAAGCCTTTACAACTGGAAGCTAAGTAAACGTCTCTTCTTTATAACATATCCAGCCTAAGGCATTTTGTCATGGCAATGGAAAACACCATACAGCATTATTCCAATTCAGGAAGCCCAATGAATTTTGCATGGAATATAAAAAAAAAGACCAAACCAGGTATGCTGATACACACCTGCAATCCCAGATACTTGGGAGGCTGAGACAGGCGGATCATAAATTTGTACAAACTGAATATCTGTTATTTGAAATTCTTAGGGCCAAAAAATGCTTCAAATTTTGGAATATTTGTACAGATGTTATTTGCCAATATGCTTTAAACATTTTAGATTTCTGAGCATCATCAATTTTGGATAAGAAATCTCAGAAGTTTGACTGACACTGCAGGCCACAGCAGTTTGACTGACGTGGGGGGGAGGCTGTGCAAAGAAATGCAGTGCATGTCACAGCAACTTGACTGATTCCCATGCTGCCGCACTCCAGCCACTGCCTGCAGTGCCTCTGGGCAGCCTGCGAGACCTGTCACCCCGGCCTGTGAGTGACTGGGCACCCACCAGCTGCCCCCCACCCCCACCCCACCACAGCCGCTGACACAGAGGGAAAGCGCTAAGTCTACCTCCCCTGCCGCCACTGCTGTGCTCCAGCCGCCGCCACCTGGAGGGGAGGTAAGGAGAGTAATACAGTGCAAGCCACAGTGCTTGACTGATCTGGAGGGGAGGGGCCAGTATACAATGTCCCTGTCTGCAACTCACTAGTACACTGCAGTGGGAAGAGTCATCTAGCCAGCCCACTTCAGAAGAACTGTAACCAACAAAGAAAGAAACTGGGGCCTCCTGGAAGAAGCAAAAAAGATGGGAAGAGGAAGCAACAAAAAAGTCCCCAGGTCCCAACCCTGAGAACACTGACCCAGGACAGGTAAGTACAAAGGAGAACGAGAACAGCAAACATGCAATATCAGACACAGTACCAGTGGACATAAAGAGATATATTCAGGACCTCATAGATGAGTTCAAAAGGGAAATATTTAGCTGAATACAGCAAGATATAAGAAAATTAATTAAAGAGATACTAAGCACCCCTCAAGCAGACACAGATAGAAGGGAGGAACTCAAAAAAAGGAGAGAACCATTTGGTGAAGAATATAAAAAACATAGAATACATGAAGCAGATTAAAAGAGATCACCAGGAAATTAAAAACTCTATGCAAAGATGGCAAATCAGCTGGAAAGAAACTAAGGATAGATTATCCAAACTGGAGGACAGTTTTGCAATGTGGGAGTATGAAAGGGAAAACTTTTTAAAAATAACAAGGAAACAAGCAGTAACAATACAAAGGCTAGGAGATGACAAAAGGATCTGTAACTTGAGAATAAAGAATTTGAAGAAGCTGAGGTACAAACAAAGGAACTATAAAGGTTATTCACAGAAATAATTAAGGAAAACTTCCCAAACATAAGAAAAGGAAACAATATTCTGATATATGAGGCATACAGAACTCCAGCCTCCTGCAACCAAAACAGAGCTACACCCAGGCATATAATAATCAAGATCTCAGAAATTCAATATAAGAACAAAATATAAAAAGCTGTTAGAGACAAGAAACAGATAACCTATAGAGGAATGCCCATCAGAGTAACAGTAGACTTCTTGACACAAACCATCAAGTCAAGAAGAGCCTGGAGCAAAATATTCCAAACCCTAAAAGAAAACAACCTTCAGCCCAGATTGATATACCCTGCTAAACTGTCTGTAGAAATTAATGGAGAAACAAGGTGCTTCCAAGACAAAGAGGAACTTGGGAAATTCACAACCACCAATCCAAGTCTACAGAAAATACTGCAGGGCATTCTAGAGAGAGAGAAAAGTACTTTGATTCCAGGAACAATGGCAGAAAGGCCTCAATGAATGGAGCAGAAAACAGAATGAAGGAGATAAGCAAACAACTGATGGTAAACAAGAGCATAACAGAAATGAGGCAGAGAAGATTTTATTCAAAACTGATGTGATTGATAGTATCAAGTCTGAGAGTATAGGCAACTATACTGAAGATGACAAGATTCTATGATATACATTCTGGTTTGATAACTGCCAGTTTTTGAAGTTCTATACTATATACAAAGTTGTGTTTTTAGTAATACTGTTATGTACTGATATATTCAATTATACTATGTCTGATGATATAGCCAATTCTATTGGAGATAACAAGAGACAACACAGGAACCATGGTAGAACTCTTTGTACAATGGCCTTATATGTTTATTTCGTTTCATGTGTTTATAGGAATATGTTTTGTTTTGCCATGCTTTGTTTTGTTTCTCCCTCTAATATAGAAAGGATAGAAATATATGTTAAGACTCATGCATGTGTAGAATCTGTAAACAGTTTATGAGAACAGATCTTATGACACATGATGAAATGAACAGATACTTTGAAGAAAAAGAGACACTAAAATACCCAGTGCTGATCCTGGAGTGTCAAAATGTGAAACCCAGCAATAGTATCTTTGTTCAGAGTGATATTAGCCTGCTTGGGTTTATTCAATGTCAACACAATTGAAGATATGGATAACTGCATGTATGTTTAAGTGTATAAGATTGACAACCACGTTACTAAGTTTTTGTTGGACAGTTGATCAGAACTGTTTGCAGTCTCGCTGATGAATTCCCACTTTACATATTCTACTCTTGTACCTTAAACAACTATTTGTAAAACGACAATATGTAAACATCAACTAGTGATTTCTTACTGTTTATTTTTTTCTCTGAACGTATGTATTATTTCTACCTATTTTCTGTTTTGCTTAGTCTTTCTTTAAATAAAACTTAAAAAGTTTTTGGATAAGAAATGCTCATTGCGTACCCTATACATTTTCTATTATTCAGTAACTAATAAAGGCAGTTTTACAAAATAGTTATAGTGTGATAAGGACTATGACTGATGCAGCAATGGGGACTGGAGTGACTTAGAGCCATAAACACAAGTAGAAGGCTCACGTAGGCTTTGTAGATGCTGGTTTTTCAGTTATGTCCAGACAACCCAGAGAAGCGGGTGGGGAATGTGTCCCTCTTGAGTTTTCTGTTCAGTGGAGGAAAAAACAGTATTTTGCATTCTGAGAATGGTTAACAGTTTCATATACTAGAGTAAGAGAGAAAGCAAAGAGAGATGAGGCTGAAAAGAAGGACCAGATTAGGAAATGTTTAACTTGTTTTTTACACCTGTAAGACTTAATTGAGGGATTTCTATCCTTCACATTCTACTGTGGCCGTATGCATTAAATTCAGGATCTCTCACATCCTACACAAGTACTCTGCTACTGAGCTGCAACCTCAGCCCACCTGAGGGTCTTTTAAGCAGAGTAAACTGGCTCTAGTTTAGACAAGAATCTTACTACACAAAACAAGGAAACAGTAACTTACTTAAGTAGGATATATTGAAAATACCTGTTATGGTTCATTCTGTCTACTTGAGAAGTTTAGAAGTTTAACTAAGCAAGTCAGCAAGAAACCAGGATCTTTACTTTGTAAACACCCTCATTCTATGCAAGAAGAGGGCACAGAGATTTTGGGAGTTTTATACCTGCTCAAGGGGCAGGGGTGTGTGTGGCCTGCGTACAATGTAAGGGAGGAAAAGAGGCTTGGTTGCCTTCTTTTGCTCCTTTCTTTGCTGTCTTCTGCTGCGTTAAACTGTTGCCCTGGTGCCATGCCACCAGGCCTTGGAGTCAATTGCTTAGGAAATGAAACCTCACAAACTGTGAGTTAAATAACTCTTTCCTTAATTTTGGGTGCTGGGGATGTTGTCTCAGCAATGAGAGAAAAGTAACAAAGACAGTATCTTATAACAAACGGAAGATAAACTAGGACTCAGAAAAAAGGACAGAATTTCACAGAACAGAGGCAGACTGAACAGCGTCACTAAGTTATTTTAAGTATCAGGAAGAATACAATCATCCTGGGAAAAAGTATCTAGAGCTGAAAGGAGTAGAGGAGCACTCCAGGCTTAGAGATTTGTGAGTGAAAAGGCTACAGCAGGTGAGGATGGTGGCATCTGCAGTAATTTCAGGACTCTGAGAGGCTGAAGTAGGAAGATCACAAGTTTCAGCCCAACCTGGACAACATGACAACTTTAAAAGACTCCATCTCAATATAAAATTTTTTAAAAGGGGAGGAGCTAGAGATGTATATCAGTGTGAAGGCCTTGGATTTAGCCCCTACTATCACCACCACCACCACACACATGCATGTGTGCACATGTGTGTGTGCACATACACACACAGAGCTACTGGAATGGCCCTAGAGAGGACAATAGAGAAATCAGTGAGATCTTAGTCTACCTTCAACATTCCTGCCAAATCACTAAGGCAAGTTCACAGTTGAGACAGTTCTATGCATAGTGCCTCATACCTGTAATCCCAGTACTTGGGGGCTGAGGCAAGAAGGTCACCATGAGTTCGATGACAATGGTCAGTTCAAGGGCAGGCTGAACTACATAGTGAGACCTTATCACAAACAAACCCACATCATTCAAAGAATAAACAAAATCCAGGGGAATGTAAATTCTAGATCACACAACACAATTTATACAAAGCAGATGGCTTAGGGCCAGTTTAGGAAAACTGCTCCATAAATGCAATTTATTCCTTTTTTTCTGCTTTATCCAAACCACTAACTAAAGTATTCTGGGTAAACTCCAGAAATAGAATAGCATCTTAAAACCCAAGAAATTCTTTCCAAGAAGAAAGTGACAAGGCAGCTTACCTTCACCATGATTTTTGATGTACACTTCTCTTTTCCTCTTCTGAGTTCTTAGAGAGAAAAAAAGGTGGAAAATAAAATGGTTAAGAAAGCATGGAGCCCAAGGAAGTGAAGTCAGAATACTCCCCCGCTTCCTCCAACTCTTCAACAAAAACTGAGGATGCCCAAAGAGGCCTGCCATGTCCTCCCAAAGTAAAAAGGTGACTTAAGGGGCCTATAGAGAGTCTGAGGAGAGATTCCCAGACTGTAGAATTTTTCTTCCATGGGAGCCTGACTCCAGGTGCTTTCAATCCAGCATCTGTCACTGAGCCTAAATCTGTGACTTCAATACACAGCCTAAGTGGGCCCATCTCTTAGGGTCTCACACTCCTGTCTTTGAGGCTGATGAATTTCTATGGGCCTAAAGCCCCAGTGGCTAGAGGGTAACAGAACAGAGATGTGGAATTTGGGCTAGGAAATCATCCTGTAGACTGGGGTGCCGTGGGGAAGTGCAACTTGTAGTCGGGAATGTGATGCTGCGGTAGCCAGGCATTCTGGTTTCTTATCACCACTCTACAAGGCATCCCTTTGAGGAATGTGGTTGAGGGGAGACTAAGGAGGCCACACGTGGGCTCAGCACGAGGACAAAGGAATGAAGTGGATTGAAAGGTGTCAAAATACTAGGTTAAAAGTGCAAGTTAATGGAGTATCTATGTAGCAGCATTCCAATATCATTATAAGATTAGATTTCAGAAGGCCAGGCAATGGTAACAATATATCCAAAAAACACATAAAATAGAAAAAATGATATTAAACTTCATATACCAGATAATACTGTTTTAACATTTTTACAAAGAAAGACAGAAAGACAGGCACTTTATAATGTGTGACTGTGACTGATTTTATTCCCTTTCTTTTTAAGAGTAATTCCCTTATAATTTAGCAATATCATTCCTTCTTGTAAAGGGTTACTAAATTCTGTTAAATATAAAATGAATAAGTATAGACTCTGAAACTGATAATCTAGAAAGCAAAATACATGGTAGACAACATTTTTGAAATCCATTTTTTGATTCTAGAAGATAAATGAACAAGGTTGATAAATGCATTAGAAATGAAAAAGTTAAACCATAGAGTTTATATAATTTTTGAGCATATTATGTGCAACTCCATAACCACCATAGAGGAAACTAGATTTACACATTCCTTCTGACATTTTTTACAGAATTAAATTCAAGAACAACTTCTGTAGTGTTGAGCCTGTGGGGCTTTTGGGGATAGTCCCAAGAAGTTCAGTGCTCTCCTCATTTTTTCTCCCCATGTGGTAGAGTACAGCCTACTCATGGGCATATTTCAACTGTTTATTTTCAAAAATTTAAAATCTCTGTACTATTAAAATAATAGTACCAAAAAAATAACAGTACCAATAACCCTTCTACACACCTGTCCCATAGATTATCAGCTGTTAATCTGCCACTTTTGATTGCTTTTCTCTACAATTTCACAGTAAACCCAAATGTCACATGAATCCCTACTAAATATGTTTGCATGTATCTACTAAGATCAGGGCATTTTCTAACCATATACTACTATGTAGAGTATTTCACACATATATCATTAAACACAGCAGCACACATACCACCCAACACAAAATGGTGTCTGACACACATCACTAAGCACACTAATACACATCCTTTATACCTCAAACAGTAACACCATGATCACATTAAAGAAAATTAACAATTCCAGAATTTGTTCATATTCAAATGCCTCCCAACTGTTTTACATACATTTTTCTTCAAGCAAGAAACCATCACATTACATCAAAATTCACACATTACATTTAATGTCATTTAGTTTCTTTGATTCTAAAATAGATTTTGTTGTTGCTGTTGTTTTCTCCAGTTATTACCTATTTTGTTTCTTTTAAAGAGTGTAATTAGTTGTCCTCTAGCATGTCTCACATTCTGGGTATGTCTGGTTAGTTCCTCCTGGTAAAATTTAGTTAAAATATATTTTAGTAAGGAGACTGCATAGACAATAAGGTGTCCTCGTGCCAGAAAACACATGAAGTCAGATCACCTTTGTATTGATGACCCTAAATTTGATCATATGGTTAAGGTGCTAATGTCCAGGTAATACATCACCATTGTAAACAGATACTCATTTTCAAGTTGAGATTCTCCACTGTGTCCAGTGTTCTGTTCAGAGGACTTATGAGAAAGACACATATCTTAGGAAGAAAAGTGGGATTTTTTTATTATCGAAATTATGATCTGCCAAGAAAGCCGGGGCACTGAGGTAAAACATTCACTGATGCTCTTGGCTGATAGTAAACTGTTCTGCCTTATAAAATTTTTGGGAACTGGGTATCATGGAGATCTTTTAAGTATGAAGGTGAATGACAGTGGGATTTCCCAAAACTAAATGAAAAGATATTGTATTTGTGCCAGTTTCTAAAGTCTGTATCAGTTTGCATTCAATTAGGAGACAAAAATCACAAAGAAATTTAAATGGATTTTAATATAAAACATTACTGAGTTCTTTAGTACTAAAGGAGAATGTTCAAGGAAGAACTATGTTATAGAGGCTGGATTTCACACATCTTTGGGGATGCGGTTGCAGCACTGTATGGTGGAGAAGTCTGATGGACTGACTCAAAAAGCATGAGTGACACTATAAGCATAAGGCCTGAGAAGAAAGGTATCCACATCAGGAGGGTGGGCAGGGACTTCCTTCTCCCTCCGCAAATGTAAGCCATGGCTGATGGGCCAGACGCAGAGGAGCTGAGGTGCCACTATGGGCACGAAGTCTGGGGCAAAGTCTCTCAGAAGGGGAGCCTCAACAACATTGTCTTTGGCTCAGGCCAGGCATGTAATATTTACAAACTACATGCTCTGGAGCACAGCTGGTGTTGAACATCACTGAATGTTCTCATATACACACGTCCACCTCATGGGCCATGAAATAACATCAAGAAAAAGCAAAATGCAGCAACCATCGCTAGAGAGGTCCCCTTTTCCTGCGGTGTTTTCCCTATACCCTTTATTGACAATGCCTAACATTATACTTGCAGTAAAAGATACATGCATAGAGTTCATAGTACAGGTATTACAGGCTGAATTTCAAGCTGAGAAGAAATAAATTGGTACTAGTACAACCTCCTCCTTTGGCTACTCAGTTCCTACATACACTTTTATATATATTTAAGTTCCCTTACATCAAAATGATTATAGTTTCTACCAAACAAGGTATGAGAAACAAATGAGAAGATATACAATCTCAGCAGTTGCCTATATTAATTATTAACTGTTGGATATATTAACTATTAATTATTAACTGTTGGATATATTATTTCTCAAATTCACTTACAATCCCACTGAATAATCGTTTACCTATATCTGGCCTCCAAAAATTTGCATATAAAAAGGAAAACATGGCTAGTATAAAAATACTCACATACAGTAGGAGAACAATATGCAAGCCACTACAGTCTTTATAATTAGATGTGAAGTTATAGTTGATGTCTGCAGCTTTCTCCTTCAAAACCCATTCCATTTCCATTACCTTTATTTTAATTAGTACATGCTTATAATACAGAGAATAGTGATGTCTGATTTGGACAAACATCTTGGTTATTTTTAATCCATTTATATCCCTTTACCTAATGACATCTTGGTTATTTTTAATCCATTTATTTAAAGAGTTTTTACACAAATGTTTATGGTAGCTTTATTTCTAATGATCCCAGACAAACTACTTATATATCAAAAGGTAACTGTAGAAATATATTGTAGTATTTTTACTCACTAATGAAGAGAAACAAGCTGGGTATGGTGGTGCAAGTCTATAATCCCGGCATTCTGGGAAGCTGAAGAAGGATGGCATGTTCCAGTTGAGCCTGGGAAATTTACTGAGACCTTATCTCAAAATAAAAAGATCAAAAGGGTTGGGAATATAGCCCAGTTGGAAGGCCCTAGGTTGAACTGCCAAAACTTCAACAAACAAGCAACTACTGAAACACAAAAGACAAAACCAATAACCTGAGCAAATATGGCTGGAAATCAAAGATATACAATTCCATTTACATGAATTTCTAAAACAAGCAAAAATAATCTATGGAGATAGAAATCAGAGTGCTGACTTCAGAATGGGGCTAATAGTCATAATGAGGGAAGGGGCCAAGAGAACTTTCTGGAGGAATGGATATAATCTATTTTTTGGCCTGGAAAGATGTATAAGTATATACATAGGTAAAATTTTATAAATATATTCACTTACAATTTTTATATTTTATGTATATATTCAAAATTTTAAAAGGAAAATGGAAGAAGTAAAAAAAAAGGTCATAAAAGAAGTGGATGGGAATGTTTTAGAGATAAGAGTCAACAGAGAAAAGGCAAAAGTACAATGGAGGGCCAGGGCTTTAGCTCAGCAGCATAAGTGCTTGCCTTGCAAGCGTACTACACTTGTGAGTTCCATCCCTGGTACCAAAAAAAAAAAAAATAATAATAATAATGATGGGCTAACACATCAGGGCTAATCAAGGGATTACATACTTTAGACCAAAAATACGGACTACTTTAATAGCTATAGTTTCCAGTTTTGTAAACTGCTTAAAAGTTGTCCATCCTAACAAGTAAAAGCTGGAAAAAAATCAACTTTAGTCATTTTTTTCATTTTATTTTAATTATTACACGCTTATAATACAGAGAATAGTGATGCCTGATTTGGACAAACATCTTGGTTATTTTTAACCTATTTATATTCCCTTATTTTTCTTCCTTTGCCCCTGATATACCTCCCCATCCCTAGAGTCCTATCATCTTTACTTTATTTATTTATTTATCCATACTTTAGGTTTATAATAGAAGAAAATACATGTGATATTTAACTTTGTGAGTATGGCTTATATCACTTTGTATGTTGGTCTCAAGGTCTACCCATTTTCCTTCAAATACCATTATTTTCTTCTTTATGGCTAAATAATATTCCAACAAATTTTCTTAAACCCAGCAGAACAGTGAGATGACAGGACAAACTAGCTTCCATAAAATCCAAAAAAGAGATA